GTAGATCTATCCAAGCTTAAACTAAATTATGAATGATTTTATTTAAAGAAAAGAAAACGAAACATAAATAAGATTATTCGGCGAGACTAGAATTTATGAACAAACCAATCAGATTTACGACAAGAAGTCTTGAATTTTGGCGCGAAATTCATTCATTCATTTGGTTAAAAAACGTCGTTTTTATTTTAACTGATGTCAGTTCGTGATGAAAACTCTAAATCTAATCTCTATCCTTAACCATCACCTATTTCTAGACTATTACCGTACATATATATTCTTGTCGTATAATTGTTAAATAACCAAACTATACATATGCATGTCCCTCTTATTATGAGCTTTATTTTGTCCTATGAACTGTTATTATACGATTTACCATTCTTGAGTTATGCCCTGTCTATCAATTACTATCTCCCACATTCACAGTAAGATTTGGCTAAATCTTGTACAAATGTTTCTTGATAATTTATGGTACGATGTGGTTTGGTTGATTGGTATATAAACTCCAGTATGTTTGAAATACATGATTCATATCGCAGAGGTTGAGATTGGTGTTCTGGACTTAAGTGGTTGGGCTAGGCAGGAAGCAGGACCAATAAGTACTTTAGATTGCTCATACGGGTTTTTATGCGTCACTGATCCGATCGATAATTCACTGCTCTCCGATTGGTGGCATCATTACGTATTTGGTAGCAGGGCACTCAGGCCACAAGTCATAACAAATAAATGGCTATTAATTTGAAATTTGCTTCACTGATGATTTATAGGAAGTCAATAAATGTCACATGCTTGCAGCAATTAACTCAGTGGGTGTCACACTGACATGATAATCACTTTTATGTCAGAAAACTATGTATGAATGTATAGCTTAAAGTAGCACTGTTCACTTGTTAGAAACGTTTTAAAGAGTTATGTTAGTGAAAAACTGTTTTTACAGACTAATTTAACCGTTTAGTGCAACTGCTAAAAGAAATGGACATTTGCAGTGGATTTTATAAAAGGTAGTCAAGGGGGAAATTACAAGCCTCTATGAAAACTTTTTATGTTTCAATAAATAAATATAAAATATAATATTGATGAAACATGCATCGTGAGTAAACTCAGAAAAGTTATGGGAATCAATAGTGTAATAGATAATATCCACATAAGAAATCTCCCAGTAATTTTAGACATTGAAATATTGACCCTTATATGAATGCGAGTAAATTGATACATAGATTAAAGACTGTCTAGTGTGAGGCATTTACCCATTGAGGACAATGGAAGATGAACATGCAAGAACGTAGAATAGTTGAAGTTGAAGATTATCACCGTTGAATGCCGTCTCACTTGTCTAGAAGTTAAGCGATTGAGCTCGTATCCAAAAGTTCTGAGTTTTAATCTGGCGTGTGGAATCGTGGATGATCACTGATGAAAAGTCCTATACTAGAACTAAACAACCGTTTGGTGATTTTAGGTTTTCAATGGTAATCCAACATTGATCGGTTGATGATCTCAATCAACAATCTCCACAACCTTATACTGTCCAATATGATCATTCAAAACACTGAACTAATGAAGATGTCTATATGTTTTACAACAATTCAACCAAATGAAATTATGTATTCCGTTGGTGGGAAGACGGATTTATTGTTGAATGCAAAATTACTCAGTGCCTTCGTAAAAAAATGAAAACCGTATATTAAATACATCATTTTCACGTCTTCCTTCAGTCGTCCTTAACATACTCTATGATTCTTTCATTTCTGTTGCTATTACAATTACTCTCTGTTTCTCTTTCTGTTCTCTTCAACTCAACCTTCTCAGTCTTCTTGTGCCAGACATACCACTTCCGACTGGTATATATATATAACTGATTAGTGGTGCTTATCTAGTCTTGAACACTTATACAATTCAGCCTATCAGTTATTTTGTAACCATTAAACTGTATGGCTTAAAGGCATATGAATTATGACTAGATACTGATTAATAGCGATATTTCTGACATTAAAGCTGAAATTTAGATGAATACAATAAAGTCAATAAATAGGGCAAGTTTAGAGGTATATTCGTTACTCCTCGGTGTTCACGCTATTTATATTTCAAGGAAACAGTAATGCAACAGATCACTCACCAAAAATATGTTTGAATGTTAAGTTAGGCAGCGAAGTTTTACCATTTGATGAAGAACATCAGTTACCTTTCAGATTATAAATACACTTCTGTGACAAAACTTGAGTGCAAGACATCATTCTTGATATCAAAGATCATCTATTTCCCACTAGAATATGTGATATGATCTATGAATTAATCTGAACTTCCCACAAACATTATACTTTATTTCTTAATACAGTTTCTGTTAATAATGTTACTGATAAGGTATTTAGTTAGTAAAATCTGAGACAAACAGTTTATTAATATATACGGTAATTTACACTTTTAACAGATTATCGCTTCAATATGATGATGTAACTTTATTAAAGAGAAATGTAAAGAATTGCTAATGTCGAGAACTGTGATCTCTAGAATAACTACATGCTGAATATTAGGGTCATTCAAATGTATTTTTCCTGTTTGTTATACACGTAATGAAGACTTTTTTTGACAAGCATAAGTTAAACATAAATAGCAGTATGGAATTGTGGAGATTATCAAGTTTTTGATTAAGATCATAAACCGGTTGATGTTAGAACACCATCAGAAACCTGGAAGCACTGGATGGCCATAGGATATCTCAGCAGTGTGCATCCACGATCCCGCCTCACGAGATTCAAGCCCAGGGCCTTCGGTCTTGTGCGGAAATGCTTAACTTTTAGACCACTGAGCAAGCATCCAATAGTGTTAGTGTCTAACATCAACCAATCCACCATCTTCCATTGTACTGAGGTAGATACCTATCTCTAATTGATATGGATTGGCCCCACTGGTCACGGTTTTTCACTAGAATTTCGAGAATTATCTCACGAAGCTAGTCACTAGGGAGAACATGGTAATTATCAGTATGGGGTTGTGGAGATTATTAGGTTTTGACTGAGATTATGAACCGATTGATGTTAGGCATAAATAATTGATAATCTGATCAAAATGACTAAATTTTTTTCTTTTGGGCCAAATGTACACCATTCAGAATTAATCGAAAATCAGCACCCAATGTTATTTAGGTTTGCAATCATTATATATAACAAAATGTATATATTAATAACGTTCTGATGCTTGGAACAATGAGTTATTATGTAATCATCATCATGGAAACTAACATACAGGTAAAATCAACTGACTAAACCAAACAGAAATACACGTTCGGAACTTCACTTCCCATCATAAATTATAAATTATTGTTTACAATGGGGGTGAGACTATAATTAATGGACGACCTTTGAGCGGCGCTAAAGTGGACTTGAGAATGTTTACCTACTGATTAAGAATAAATGAGGGTTTTAAACCTGTGTGAATGATAAGGATTGTGATTTAGAGTTTTCATCACCAAATGACATCAGCTATAATGCTAAGACGCTATTTAGCCAAATGGATGAATACATTTCGAGCCGAAATCCAAGACCTATTGTCGTAAATATGTTTGGTTCGTCCATGAATTATAGTTTTGCCATAATTGGTACAATTTTCATTTACAAAAATTAACTATGCATGTAAAAACCATCAGCTCTAATGCGTAAATCAATATCAGCTAACAACCCATATTATTCTGGCCATATCGAAGAATAACCATTAGAGATGCTTACTAGACGAATACATATTATTCAGATAATCGAAAATGTAGTATAGTTGAGAAATCTCATTGGTTTGTACTTTCATTTCGTTGACATTAACTACTGAAATTGGTCATTTTCCATTGAAATATGTGCATCATCATAGGATTTCATCGATAGTATCATCCTTTTACAAATATTAATTAAGTTGATTTTTGGCTAATAGTTAGTCTAGGACAAGCGCTTTTTTCTTAATAGAAGTCGTTTAAATGTTTCTGGGTATCAGGTGATATTCACATTGACACTCGAACCAAGTAAATTTTGTCTAAAAATTCAGTGTTTTATTCCTCAAGTTACTATGTATCAAATAGTTTGAAGGGGTTTATTTTGTGTACAAAACATTAAATAATGGAAAGTCAGTCACAAACTACGTATAACCTAGTACACGTGTAGATCGGTTTCCGTTGTCATTCCACATCAATGAGATGAGATGAAATAGTATCAAAGTGGTAGAAATGATAGTAAATTAAACATTAGACTAGAGAAATTGATAAATGAATTCATAGAATCAAAAGTATAAATTATTTTTAAAACTCAGGATCTAAGCGAAACAGTGATTTATTTATCATCATTTTGAACAATTTTATTGTGACTGTTTCTATGAGCGTCTCCGAACACTAGTTGTGATTACTGCTTGAATCTCAGACAGATATCTTATATTTAGCACCATGATTCGAACTTAAAACCGATAGCCATATGAATTAATCTCACCTTTTGATTGGTAGCTCTTAGTTTTCTTCTAGCTTATTCTTTTATCGACTAACACCGCGTGTGGGGAAATTCCTGAACAAAGGAAATACATCTCCTAACTGTATCAGTAATTCAAAACTCACCACCTTATTAGTTGATTTCCGATCTTTACCTAGTACTGTGCATTTAACTTCAGTATTGTTCACTTGATAGTTCCAGCATACACTACCGATCCTACAAATGTCTTCCACTTACTGGTGTCATATTTCTTAGTCATATAGATTGACACAATTAATTACTGAGTGGTATATTCTTTCATTGGTGGACAAACATGTTACTCACACCAGAAGTAATTTAAGTTGGCTAGATTCTAGAGAATATTTTAATTCTACAAGTTAAACATAATAGTACTGTCTACATATCTGTTTCCATGGTACCAGTTTAGTTTTCTTTAATGTATTCTTGATTGTTAATAAAATCAATAGTTGAATTTATTCCTTTTCTTCTCATTATTATTCTCATATTCAAGGAATATACTAAGAAAAAAGGAAATAAATCAAAACTTACATTACTTCATCAAACGGTATGGCAAAACACATTTCTCTTGGTACAAGATGTGCTATTGAACAATAATAAGTTCCAACATAAACAGTCATTTTGATAATAATAATAATTATATTATTGAGGTATTGAGTTGTAATGGTATTAAGGTTGATTTGATATATATACAGAGAGATTATATCAGTTATTATACATGATACATAACTAATATGATAAGAATAAATAATGATGATTATCTTAATCTTTTATAGAGAAATAAAGCGTGTAAACAGTCATGGAAACCGTGCAAATTATAGTTCTCCTCTTTAAACAGTAACACATAATAAGAGATTCTATAATAAACGCGCTTTATGCATATATATATATATATATATATATATATATATATATATATATATATATATATATATATATATTCGTAGTAATGTGTAATGTGATCAAATATTGTGTATATACACTTATTTTTGTATTGTTTTATGTAGTGGCATTTTAAGTGATCAGAGACTACTACTAAGTGTACTAACATAGTCACTAAGTGAAATCATATGTTTCTACTTCTCATATCTATATATATACTAGTAATAAATAAAAATCAAAGTGAATGAATGAAAGATGAATATAAAAAGTGTATTAACATTGTTTATATATCATATAGAATAATAACAACAAGTATGTCACCATGAAATAGTTATATATATACTACAACAGTCTATGAGACATTGAGATTAGCAACATTCATCATACTATGTAAACGTTTAATTCAACTTGTAATATTATGATATTCGGAAGTATTTGAATTATAGTATGAACTAGGAATCCCAGAAATAACGTAATCGGACCAAGAACAACTAGATAACCACAAACGAATGTACTGTATTTAGAATTCGAAATCAAGCATTCACTAAGTACTAAGGAATCATTAGTTCATTCAAACACCACAAATATGCTGGGATATTTACTTCAATAAGCAATTTCATGTTTAATATATTATATTGAGTTAAGTATAGGTGTTTTGTTTAGTTAGATAAATTTTCAAAGGAACAGTTTATGTATTTAAATGGTGATTGTATTGAATGATTTAAGATGACTGTTTTTATAAGTCGTGGTGGTGGGTTTTTTGTTGGTTTTATTATCACATAAATCAGTGACATAACCACAAATTTGAACTCTTCTATATAAAGATCTTTCAACCAGTTTGATATATTTTATTGAACTGTTATAACTTGTAGCCGTGTTCCCCAATAATGTATAATTGAATGACATCGTCAATTAGAGAACAGTGATTTATCGACTGGTTCAATGACGCAAGCAACCTGTACCAGTTCTTATCAGTCCTTCTCCCTGTCTGTTAAGTTCAGAAGCCAATCTCAGCTTCTGCGATATAAATGACTTATTTCAAACATACTCGGTTTATATAGAAACCAAACAGACCATATCACAGCATAAAATAGGAAATAACATTCATACACAGTAAAGCCGAAAGTGGCTGTGTATGTGGGAGATAGTAATTGATAGACGGTAAATAGTATAATAACAGTTTGCAGGTCAAAATAAAGCTTATAATAAGAGAAACATGAATATGAATAGTTTACTTACTTAACAAATATACAATAAGAATATAATTATAGTATCAGTTCAGAAATAGATCCCAACAGTTACCATTCATTATTCTCATCGGGATATGACATAAACTTGAGTTTACTAACCTAAATTAACTATTATAAAGACAATATTTAACTCACAATAATCTTCTTTGTGTCTGATATGACGAGAAGAAAAGTCAAAATTCGATTAATTTACTTATTATGAGTTTTATTCAACATAACTTTCGTTCTCATTCAATATGATGATCATTCAGTGTGGTATTCGTTTTTGCTTCCCCGTATGATATTTTATCCTGTATAATATACGATCTTTCAATGGTTGAAATTATGAGTCAATTAAAGCTAGACCGGCATGGAAAACCTGGAAGCACTGGATGGCCATTTCGTCCTATTGTGGGACTCCGCAGCAGTGCGCATCCGCGATCTCGCCCCCCCGCGGGATTCGAACCCAGGACCTATCAGTCCCGCGCGCTAACGCTTTATCTATTACACCACTAAGTCGACCAGCATCTATCGTTGTTGATGTCTAACTTCAACTAATCCATGAAATTGAGCGACACATCCACCATTGTCTTCAGTGAGTCACTATGTCCTCGGTTTGAATCTCGCGGGACGAGAGAAATCATACAATGGGACTAACCGGCAATCCAGTGCTCCATGTTTTTTCGGGGTGGTCTAACTTAAATTGACTCATGATTTCAAGTATTGAAATTTAAAAAAGCAAAATACTTTTTTAAGGAAAGATAGATAATAGCTAGCAGTGGAATCCAGCACTGGTCAGCTAGATGTACCTACACCCCAGATTCATATGCATTCTAGGACTAGAACCTAGTATCGTTCACTTAAAACTCCATCACGTTATCTAGTTAGCTACTGAATCCCGGTAACCAACTGCTTGTGTAATTGGATGAATTTCAATTTCTACATATTGGTTGTTTAAATCTTTCCATTGATGTACCTGATTACAGCTAATCAGTCTCTTTAACATATCATTTTCAAGTGAATCAACGATAAAAATCATAAATAGATAGCTATGTCAAGAATTTATAATTCCTTGCTTAATAATTAATTTAAATAAATTGAATCACCAATTAATTTGCCGGGTAAAATTGTTTTCTTTCAAAATTGCAATTATTAAGATTCAACAATATTAGTTATTTAATAATTAAATCCATGAGTCAATTGAAGTTACACTACAATTTAAAAACCCGGAAGCATTGAACGGCCGTCTCATCCACGTATGGGACTCTTCAACAGTTCGCATCCATGATCCCGCCCCGCGAGATTCGAACTCGGGACCTTGTAGCATTGATTATTATGTTAAGCCTATATACCTTATTCTAGCTTTCGGACAGCCCAATCTATTCATTCTACTTGAGTCACATTTTGACGTTGTTAATTATTCGCTTATCAATCTTGACTATTTTTGTATGAACGCATATTTGTATGTAAATTTCTTATCCCATTCATCACATGTCTGTAACTTACTTTTGTGTAACTAATCATAATGATTAACGCTTGATTGAAGGGGAGTTGGCTTATCCGCCATCTCCACTGCGCGTCGTTTTGCTTTGTTCTATCCCATTAGCTTTATATACAAAATATAAGTGTTCAAAAGTCCGTTCTCGTTATTTGATTTATTTAATTTGGTTATTGACTAACGCGATTTAAGTCGACGATTATATACGAGGATAGGCAACATATACATTTCAACGGCAATCATTCATGTGATCCATTTTGGAGCCAGATCTCGGGCTATTGAAACCTATCAGTCTCGCGCGTGTACGCTTAACCTTTAAACCACTAAGCCGGCATCCAATGATGTTAATGTCTAACCTTAACCAATCCAAGAAGTTGCGCGACCATCTTCTATTGTACTGAGGTAGACACCTGTTTCTACCCTGGATTCGAATTCCGCGAGCAAGATCGTGGATGCGCACTGCTGAGGAGTCCCACAATAGAACGGAACGGCCGTTCAGTGCTTCCAGGTTTTTAATGGTGGTCTAACACCAATTGGTCCATGATCTCAATCAAGAAAAAATAATAATTTTATAATTTTATTTCTAAGAGTAACTGTATGCTTTTTTTCTTTAACAAATAAATAATCGATTGATTTACAAGAAAAAATATTTTTTAAATCAATAAAATCGTTTCATTTGTTACCATATTAAAAATAGTTTATTTTTATATTTTGGTAATAAATACTCACTCATTTTACACCATAGGAAATAATAACTTCTTTTTGTTTATTTATGAATAGTCAGTATGAAGTTTGTTTTATAAAACAGAAAGCAAAACACACCATGAACTAGGTAGTCAAATGAATAATATTGTATATGTGATTGTGTGTGTATAATATATATGTAGGTATGTACGTATGTGTAAGTGTAAGCTATTAATATCACTACTTATAAGTAGCATTGTAATGAATATATATAAATATGCAAAATTAAACTGTCCTGAAGAAAAAAAAGGTTCATTTATTGATTAGCTGAAAGTAACATAGTAAGATAGTATATTTCTTTAAATAAAATGTTAGAATAATTTAGGGACAAAATTGAAAGTGAAGAGAATTCTTTAGTTATATCAATTGAAGAAGTCATTTAAAGGCAGGAACAAATGAGTTGTTTACTTTAATATATGAAAATCTTCAATGAACTAACCAAAGGATGATAGAATTGGAAGGCTGATACTAATATCGTTTAGAAAATATTTCTTCAAACTAAAATATACAAAACTTTGACATAAGTTTTTAGTTTCTAGAAGTTCAGTCTCACTGGGAGTGTGGAAATTAAAAATAAACGATTTAGGTAAATATAATAGACTTTCTTCATGTTTTGACACTAGTCGGACAGAAAAAAATATAGAGCCGTTTATTTCCTAGTGTAGGACTTTTTAGTAATACGTGACCACGATCTATTTTTATTGTCAATCATACCAATACCAAGTCACTACTTAAAAGCACCCGCCAACTGAAATATATATATATATATATATATATATATATATATATATATATATATATTGTTTTGACTGGTTAGCATTATATTGTCTAATACACGCATTGTTCGTGTTATTTAATCGATTTCTGTGTGTAATAATATGTTCCATTATGATGTTTAGCTATCATAGCTTATTGTGTTTGTCAGAAACTCCTCTGTAAAAAGATTGTTTAGTGTTCGGCAGTGGTTTGATTACCACAAGTGTTCAATGATTTTGTCATCAAAATACATCAATAGAAAAAATGTTCCTGAATTTACTTAATAATTTTCTAACAAATAATTATAGTGAATTCTTAATAAAATAAATAACTACTGTTCCATAGTTGAAGATCATTTGAAATGTAAAACTATGAAGATATATTGTGATTAAGGTATATAGTTCTACATTATTCTGATAAAATCGATTACTGGCAAATGATATTGATACAAGAAGCAAATGCTTACAACATGTTACAATGTGTTCATCGAGAAGTACACTAAAGGGAATTTCTAGGAATTGTTTCTATTAATAATCTGAAAACATTTGGATTGACTGGCGGTTATTCATCTGTTAACTATTGTACATCTTCTTAACATTTAGAGAATCAAAAGAAAGTTCTAAGTCTACCAGTCTATGCAAATCATGAAGTTATAATTCACTTCGTATTGTTTGTCTTGTATTTTCCCATTGTTGTTTAAGACTGCAATTGATCAGTGTGTTATTGGCATATGTGCATACTGTGCGTATGCCTCG